TCTTAATAATTAAAATTTTTTATTTAAAAAAAAAACTACATGGAATAATTTCTTAATAATTACCAAAGACATATTTGAACTAAAATGCAAACGGTATGCTACTTTTCAAATTTTGGATTCTTGCGCTCTTCATAAGGATTTTTCATACGAAGCTATGCTTATTGAGAATAATATCATAAATGACACTTTTATGCAAGTGAGATGAATCAAATGATGTGTCAAATGTGCCTAGGTAAGGAACACTGAACATGATATTTGGTTTCTCTGTCATCAAATTTAAGATAAATATGATTGTAAAGCCAAAAAATAAAATAATTCATCTAGAGTCGCCTTCATTACTTTAAATGAAAATATTAATTATTTTATTTCTCTTTTTTATGATATTCTAAATAGAACACTTTTGTTTTTGGTTACCATCATAAATATGGGTTGTGCTTTAATCTCAAAATAAGCTCTTATGAAGGCTAATTTTGAGAGCAAAGATATAAAATAGGTTTTAGTATTGGAAAGCATAAATATCGTAGGCTAGATGGATTCAATTCAATTTTTTTTTATTGCATTGGATGTATTGATCATAGTCTTATCAAGTCAATTCAATATTTATTCTCTATGATTAAAAGCCATGAGAGGCAGTAGCGCTTCAAAATAAAAATTTATTGTCAACGTCTTAATGAATATCAATTATTTTTCTTTTGTGACAAATTTAATAATTGAAAATTATTTTGTACAACTAAGATGATATGAAAATTTTGTGAATATAATCTTTTTTTGCTAATTATTTTTAAATTTTTATGATATTTTGTGGATTATTCACTATAAAACAGTCTATTCTTTTTAAAATTTCTTAAAGTAAATTACTATTAAGTTTAGGAATTGAATGCCTTTTTTTATGAACTAAAATGATTCAATCTCTTTGTGCTGTGGCTTTTTGATCTATGACAAATCTATCTTAATATAGTGGGCACTAACCCTTTATAAATTTTAAAAATTTTATGAATATCATAGTTAAAAGATCGCACCTAATAACAATTGTTTGATACTTCTTACAACCTCTTAGGAAGAAATTGGTTGCTCTCTTAATATTCAAAGTATTTAGATTATCTCTTTCAACTTTTATGGTCATGTTCTTGTTGCTAGTCCAAATGTTTTGAAAACATATATATGCTTTTTTTATATAAAAAATAATGCATCGTTATCTCACCACTAATGACATATTAGTTAGAGTGGGCATCATGTTTGATAAAACTTATTCCTTTTAACTATAACTATGAGAAAAATCATATACTTATTAGTTTTCTATTATGCTTCATCTATTCACAAAAGTATTATACTAAGACACCACTTTTTACTCTTCAAATAAATGATTATTTGTTGAATCTTGGAATGTTTTTGGAATCACACCACCTAAACAAGAGCTATAAAAAGGAGAAGAGAACTAGAAAAATAGATAAGAAAAAAGAGGAAAAGAGAGAAGTCTTATCTTTATTAAGCAAAGAATAACAACTTCAAAGAATTTTGATCCCATGTTTCCATCAGTGTACCTTGAGGTCGCCTCCTCTATTTATAGGTTTTGGTTGGTCTTGATATGCTGCATAAGTCGCAGCACAATAAATACAAATATACAATGCTCAAAGTTTCTTTTTTAAAAGGGATTATTATGTCGCCCGAATCCTTGTGTGTTGATGAATTTGACTATACTTTATTATATTTTGATCGAAAGAAACAATTTATTATTTATGGATGCTCATTCATCTCTTTTCAAAAATCCTTGAGAATCTTTGTTTAACAATTAGACAAAAAAAAAAAGAAAATGAAAATAAAAATAAGAGTTATTGAATGAAATTATCAATTACACACAGTGCTCGAAACATTGCTATTTGCAAATCTAGCACTCTCTTCCGCCCACTTTTCAAAATTTCACTGAAATATTAGAATACAAGGAAAAAAACTCAACATATCTATTTCTTTTGTATCACATTATCAATGATTCGATAGTGACACACTTAAATGCATCAGTTAGTTAGTTGAAAAGATGATGTGGGTGCCAAATCTTTACCTAACAATGTTTCAAGTGATGAATATGCAGTTATACTTATAGATTAATATGCTTGGATTGGTGAAAGAGACTCGATGTATGTCTTCGTCTTTCATTGCTATTAAAAATTATAATTTTGTTTCTTTTTTTCCGTTCAGAGTCATGACCCAAAGAGAAAAATAAATATAATTTCTCTTTTTTAACATTACATTTTCCGTCCTTTAAAATGTTGCAGCATATTTTTTTTTAGTTTTTTTTTTTTCATTATTTTATAGGTACCATATTGGGAAGAGTAAGAGTTTTTCTCGTATATTACCCGGTTCCATAATTAATATTTATAAGAAATCATTATAATGATTTTTTTGAACTATCCAGCCAATACATTTAAATGCATCAAGATCAAATTATTAATAATTTCATAAAAATGAATAATACAATTTGAGATTTTTCAATAAATTTAGATATTTGAGCTAGAATTTGAAAAATGAATGAAAAAAAAAAAATTTGATTTGTAAATATCAATATTTTGGATTCAAGATGAAAAAATATTATAATCCAAAATAGAACAAAACAAAATGCACATGGGTGAAATCTGCATCTAATAACTTTTCCCTAATAAAAAAAAAGGCAGCTTTATTGCCACCTCCAAAAACAGAGAAGGCAGCCATGTCGGAATCTGAAGCAGAGCAAGTCCGCATCATCTATCGCCACA